GTCGTCGTCGTCGCGGTTGTCGTCGTCGTGGTCGTCGTCGTCGTCGTAGCCTGCCCCTCGGGGGCCCTCGGAAGCCCTCGGAGGCGGTCGGCTGCCCCCCTCGGAGGCTGTCGGAGGCCCCCGGAGGCCCTCGGAGGCCGTCGGAGGCCCTCGGAGGCCCTCGGAGGCCCTCGGGGGCCCTCGGGGGCCATCGGGGGCCCTCGGAGGCCCCCCGATGCCGTGGGAGGCTGCCCCCCGGAGGCTCGTGGAGGCCCTCGTGGGCCGTCGGGGGCCCTCGGAGGCACTCGCCGTCGTCGTCGTCGCCGTCGTCGTCGCCGTCGTCGTCGCGGTCGTCGTAGTCGTCGTCGTCGTCGTCGTAGTCGTCGTAGTCGTCGTCGTCGTCGTCGTCGTCGCCGTCGCCGTCGTCGTCGTTTTCGTCGTCGTTTTCGTCGTCGTCGTCGTTTTCGTCGTCGCCGTCGTCGTCGTCGTCGTCGGTTTCGTCGTCGTCGTCGTTTTCGTCGTCGTGTTCGTCGTCGTCGTCGTTTTCGTCGTCGTCGTCGTCGTCGTCGTCATCGTTGTCGTCGTCGTTTTCGTCGTCTGCGTCGTCGTCGTCGTCATAGTTTTCGTCTTCGTTTTCGTCATCGTCGTTTTCGTCGTCGTCGTCGTCGTTTTCGTCGTCGTTTTCGTCATCCTCGTTTTCGTCGTCGTCGGCGTCGTCGTGGTCGTCGTCGTCGTGGTCGTCGTCGTCGTCGTAGGCTGCCCCTCGAGGGCCCTCGGAAGCCCTCGGAGGCGGTCGGCTGCCCCCCTCGGAGGCTGTCGGAGGCCCCCGGAGGCCCTCGGAGGCCCTCGGAAGCCCCCGGAGGCCCTCGGAAGCCCTCGGAGGCCCTCGGAGGCACTCGGAGGCCCTCGGAGGCCCCCGGACGCCCTCGTCGTCGTAGTAGTCGCCGTCGTAGTCTGCGTGCGTGGCCACTGCAGCCAAAGAGGAGATCTCGCCCGAGGAGGCCGCGTCAGACATGCCCAACATCGGGGGCTACTGGCAGAAGCAGCTCCTCAAACTCCAGGACATGTGCAGGCAGTACGTGACGGACGAGAAGTACCTGGCGGGGAACGCTCATCTGCGCCTGAACGATGCGAGAGACCCCCTCCCAGAGAGCTACTCCCGCGGCCTGCCGAACCTGTACTTCACCATGGCCCCTGCAGAGTGGAAGGCGCTGCTCCACGAGGGGCTCCTGGGCTGGGGGCAGCGAGCCGACAACCTCTCGGAAGGGCAGGCTGCGCTCACGCTGCACCTCCACCGCATCCTGGGCACCCTGATCAGAGACGCAATCCTGAGGAAGGGCGCCCCGACGGACGAGGAGGGCAACTTCAGAGACGCCTACTTCGAGAAGAGGCACGCGTGCGGCATCGACGAGGTCTTCGACTACTGCTTGCGGTTCGAGTTCCAGAGCAGGGGCACACTCCACGTCCACGTCCTGGCCTGGGTCAAGTACTCCAAAACCAACATGGACGAGATGTCGGGCAGGTCCAACCAGGAGGGCCCCAAGTCGGACCTCCTCAAGTGGTTCGAAGAGCTGTCCAGGAGTTCCGTGGACGTCCAGTGCGGCGACGGCCACAACACCGTCTTGCAGTACGTCGCGGGCTACGTGAGCAAGGCCTCGGACGCACTCACGTTCAAGTACGGCGACTACACAGAGCGAGACAGCCCCTGGCGCATGACTTACAGACTGCTGTGCAAGAGAGCCCCCCTGCTCCCTGAGATGGCCCTGGAGTTCTCGGACTGCAACCCCATCGACAACTCCTACCGCCACGACTTCGTCTACGCACCGCTCCCGCGCCACCGAGAGGACGACGAGGGCCCTCGCACCACCGAGCCAGAACCCAGGCGCGGCGAGAGCAGCAAGCGCAGGGCCGCCAAGAACTCCAGCACGAAGCTCTACGAGGCTTACTTGAAGCGCCCAGACCCCACGCCCTTTGACGAGTGGCGCCAGGATCGGGCAGTGCCAAGGGGAAGCACCACTAGGGGGGTCGCCAACTTCTCCTGGAAATCCAAGTTCCAGGATCGAGGGTCGAGGAGGTTCTTGGACGTTTCTTTGCGTTTTTTGGGGCTCTGAGGGGCCCAATCAATTCCTTGAGGAAGACTCCTGGAAGCGGCGTTCCTTCAGGGAGGTGGCGACCCCCTTAGTGATGACCCCCTTGGCACTGCCCCACAGGAACAGAACGCCTGCGACAGCGAGACTACGCGGAAGCAGTACGAGGACTACAAGAAGAAGCTCACAGGGTCCTTCCTCGAGTGGCTCCGGGGCTACCACCTGGTCAACGGCGAGGTAAAGGACAGGGGCGGCCACGGCGTCGGGAAGAACAAAGAGCGCTGCGCCATCGGCGTGCACTACCCCTACGAGATGCTCGACAACTTCCTGGGCGCGTTCATAGCCATGAACACCCCGCACTCAAGCGAGGCAGAGCTGGCCCCAGACCTGAGCCCAGACGTCCCCGAGGGCACGCGCTACCTGGCGACCGCCCTGATGCAGGAGCGCTACGGCGGCAACCCAGGCAAGCGCGAGTACGGAGACGTGGAGCTGTTGATTGAGGAAACCGACAGGGACCTGTACATCCGAGGGAAGAAGTACGCCGACCGCAAGAACCTGGCTCGGCGCCTGCGCGCTCTGAAGATGCTCCTGGACAACACTGGGACACGCGGCATGTGCATCCCCGCCGACATCTGGGACGTCAAGGCCGTGGACGCCCCGCCACCGCGAGTCTGGTCTGCCGAGCAGAAAGAGGCCCTGGACATCATCGAGAGCGGCGTGGCCGTGGACGACGCCAACGCCAACGCGCAGAACCGCAGGCTCGTCATCACGGGCAAACCTGGCGCGGGCAAGACCGAGGTCGTCTGCGGCGCAGCCACTGCAGCCGCCGCCAAGGGAGAGCGCGTTCTGATCGCGTGCCCCATCGGCGCCCTGATCGACGTCTACCGCCAGCGCCTCCCGCCCAACGAGAACATCGTCATCGAGACGGTGCACTCCTCCCACGGCATTCCCATCGGGCGACAGAAGGACGAACAGTGGAACCCCCCTGGGCGCCTGCGCACCTTCGACCTCATCATCTACGACGAGGTGTCGCAGATAGAGGATAAGGTCTGGACGAAGATGGACCTGGCTCTCAACGAACTGACCACTGGCCCCTTCGTCTGCTTCGTGGGCGATTTCCAGCAGCTCCAGCCCGCGGGCGGCAACGCTCTGAACGTCGACCTGGACCAGGCAGTCGCCAGCGGTAGGATGCGCCACGTGGACCTCAAACCGCACTCCCTGGCTCGCAGCACCGACCCAGAACTCCTGGACTTCCTGAACTACGTGCGGGAGCGCCAACCCACGAAACCGATGCTCGTCGAGTTCTGGGGCGACAGGCGCCTGACGCAGGACACAGGCTACAGGGGCGAGAACGTCATCGACACGGCTGTGAACAAGTCCATGGACCTGGAGGAAGAGACAGGCAAGCACTTCACGCTCCTCACCGTCCGCAACGACGGCGCGCTGCGTCTGAACCGCAAGCGCGCGGCGACGGAGTTCGGGGACCGCGAGGAAACCGGGGAGAGCTGGAAGATGCACGACGTGCCCGCCGACCCGGAGTACCGCGTGAGGAGCGACGACCCCGAGGACCCCCGCAACTTCGTCGTGGCACTCGAAGGCATGCGAATCCGCTTCACGAGGAACGTCGACAAGGAGTCCGGATTCGTGAACGGCGCCCTGGCCGAGGTCGAGTACAGGTTCAAGGACGAGGAGGGCAACTACTACCCTGGTGTGTTCATCGCGAAGACGCCCTCGGGCAGGCGCATCCTGGTCTACCCCCTGACAGACCCGCGCAGCAACGACCGCAGCTTCTTCATGCCCTTCACCTACGGCTACGCGATGACCATCAGGAGAGCGCAAGGTTCCACGCTGGAGCTCATCGGCCTCTGGTTCGACCACACGCACCCCCCCGAGCCTGGATACGGATACGTGGGCCTCTCTCGCGTGCGGCGGAAAATCCACGCGTGGCTCATGGGCAAAGCCCGTACCACCGACTTCTGCCCAGTGCCCGCAGACCCTGCCGCGCCGCAGCCGCGCCGAGGGGGCGACAGCGCCAGCTCCGACGTCGACAGCGATTTCGGCGATTGGGATTCCGACGACGGCGAGTCCTCGTCCGCTGGAGAGGACCAGGGCGCCTCCATGTCCTCGTCCGCCGAAGAGGACCAGGGCGCCTCCGTCAGCAGCGCAGAGAGCTCGGGGGGCGACCCAGGCGCAAGCTTCCCAGAAACCAACTCCTCCGCAGGCGACCCCGGAGCCACCCCACCAGGCAGCGACGACGAGCGCTCCGCGGAGGAGGCTGGCGCCACGCCCCTAGGCAGCGAGCACTCTGAAGGCGACCCTGGCGCAAGCCCACCTGGCAGCGACGGCGAGAGCGCCGCGGCGGGCAGCCCCAGCGCTGGAGGCCCAGAAGGCAGCGGCGCCGACCGCCCCGAGGACGGCCCTGGCGCCAGCACCCCAGACGCAGACGCGCACCTCGGCGAACCTGGCGCGCCGCCAGCAGGCTCTGACGCGGGCGAACCTGGCGAGACAGCAGCAACAGCCGAGCAACTCCTGCATCCGAGGCGCACCCCTTGCCCCCTGGAAAACGTCGGGAACTCCTGCTACGCCAACGCCACGCTGCAGGCGATCTTTTCCCTGCAGATGACGGAGGAGTTATGTAGCATCGTGCCCGTCGATGACAGCGGGGGCGGAGCCCTCGTCGCCACCTTCCGCGCGGCCGAGGAGAGCAAGCTCTTCACACCACAGAGGTTCCTGGCTGACCACTACGAGCAAGACAAAGACCAGCAGGACGCATAGGAGTTCCTCCAACGGCAGGTGCTGCAAGCTGCAGAAACCTGGGCCACGCAGTGCAGCGGCGCCGACGCGCCCAAGCTCCTGTGCCGACACTGCGGGATCGTTGGGCGCCTAACCGAGCGAGAAACGTTCTCCTCGATATCCCTGCCCCTCCACTCCCAGGGCGGCGCGCCCTACCGCACGGCCGCCGAGGCGCTCCTGGGCTACCTGGACACGCGGCAGACTGTGGCGCTCAGGGCCTGGGCTTGCAGCACACCAGAGTGCGTCGCGCGCGGCGTCGCAGCAGACGACCCAGCGAAGATGCCCAACGTACTGCACTGGCCGCGCGTCCTCATCCTGCACCTCCTGCGCTGGGACAACAAGCCAATCCGGTCCCGCACGCCGTGGCGCCCGACCGCACCCTGCGCGTGAGCGGCACCACCTACGCGCTGCGCGCAGTGGTGACGCACGAGGGCAGCTCAGCTCGCAGCGGCCACTACGTGGCGTTCGCTTCGCGGGGCGACCGCTGGCACGTGTGCGACGACAAAGCAGTGCGGCCAGCCACAGAGAGCGAGGGGGCGACGTTCGTGCGCGACAGGGTCAAGGGCCACACCTACCTGCTCTTCTACGAGAAGGTGGACTCGCCCGCGGTATCTGTGGTCCTGGACTGAGCGGCTGCTCAGCACCCTGCTGCAGCCGCCCCACCTGGTCTCGCAGCTGAGCGCAGCCCCAGCTCCGCTGCAGCGCGGCGCTTGAGGCGGGGACAGACGGACGGCGACGCGACGAAGACGACGACGACGAGCGACGAACAACGCGGCGACGACGACGACAGGCACTGCAGCTCGCCTGCCGCGGGCCGCCTGGCAGCCCTGCAGCCCCGCAGCGCAGCTGCAGCGCAGCGCAGCTGCAGCGCGGCGCTCGAGGCGGGGACGGACGGACGGCGACGACGAAGACGAAGACGGCGGCGGCGAAGACGACGACGACGACGAACGACGACGACGACGACGACGACGACGACGACGACGAGCACGACGAGCGGCCAACGACGCGGCGACGACGACGACGACGACAGACGACGGCGAGCGGCAAGCGAGGGAGGAGGACGACGACGAAGGACGCCGCTCCCCACAGCCCAGGGTTGCTCCACCCCCCCCCCCAACGCGACTAACCCCGAGGTTTAGGAATTGTCCGCCGTAACAGGATGCGCGCCGCGTGGTATTATTTGATAGGGGCGGTGGGGGCTTAGGAATTAGCCGCCGCGGCCCGAAGTGCGCCGCGTGATGCGATTCGATAGGGATGGTAAAGGTTTAGGAATTGGCCGCCGCGGCCCGAGGTGCGCCGCATGGTACGATTCGATAGGGATGGTGGAGGTTTAGGAATTGGCCGCCGCGGCCCGAAGTGCGCCGCATGGTCTGATTCGATAGGGATGGTGGAGGTTTAGGAATTAGCCGCCGCGGCCCGATGTGCGCCGCATGGTATGATTTGATAAGGAAAGTCGCAACATATGCCGCGCGCGCCGAGGCGCATGTGCGCCGCATGGTATTTTTTGCAAGGGATCGCAGAGGGCGGACAGCGCGGAGATACATCCCAGAAGAATTGGTTTACAATTTAAAACCCTAAGCCCTAAGCCCTAAACCCTAAACCCTAAACCTTAAATTCCCATGCACCTCGTTGTGCTTCTGCCCACCCCACCGCGCATCGCCGTCGCCGTCTACGAGAGACAGGGCTTCTCTGAGATGCTTCAGCTGGTTGCCCGACTGGGTCGTCCTGGTAGCCTAGGGCTACCTAACCCCACGCTTGGGGATCTACGATGCAAAGATAAACCATGCTTGATCTTCGAAGAGTACAACACCCTAAACCCGGTGGCTTTCGTCCTCGGGTGGGGTTCCTACTTCTCTGACACGTAAAAACACGTGTGGGGCGCTCTATAGCGCTTCTGGGCGCACTTGTGAGCGCCTGTGAGCGCCTGGGAGCGCCTGGGAGCGCCTGGGAGCGTGCGGGAAGCGCTTGGGAGCGCCGGGGAGCCCCTGGGAGCGCCGGGGAGCGCCAAGGAGCGCCGGGAAGCGCTTGGGAGCGCCGGGGAGCCCCGGGGAGCGCCGGGAAGCGCCGGGGAACGCCGGGGAGCGCCGGGGACCGCCGGGGAGCGCCGGGGAGCGCCGGGGAGCGCCGGGGAGCGCTTGGGAGCGCCGGGGAGCGCCGGGGAGCGCGCTGAGAGCGCCTGGGAGCGCTTGGAAACGCTTGGAGGCGCCCGGGAGCCGCTGGGAGCGCTTGGGAGCGCCAAGGAGCGCCGGGGAGCGCCGGGGAGCGCGGGAAGCGCTTGGGAGCGCCGGGGAGCGCCTGGGAGCGCCTGGGAGTGCATGGGAGCGCCGGAGACCTCTTGGAAGCGCCAAGGAGCGCCTGGGAGCGCCTGGGAGCGCCGGGGAGCGCCTGGGAGCGCTTGGGAACGCCTGAGAGCGCCTGAGAGCGCCTGGGAGCGCCTGGGAACGCTTGGAAGCGCCTGCGAGCGCATGGGATCGCCTGGGAGCGCCAGGGAGCGCCTGGGAGCGCCTGGGAGCCATTTGGGAATTTAGGGGCCAGCGGCCCTAAACCCTAAAAGGCTTTAGTTCGGGAGGTCGCCGGCCATGCGGCCGGGGGTGGGAAGATGTTGCACCTCCTGCCCTCTTCGCCAAGCTTGCTCGGGTCGGCGAACCGCCCCCCCAATCAAGCTTGCCGAAGGGGGGGCAGCATTGCCTGGGCTGTCGGCCGCTGCGCTAAGAGAAGCCCTAAACCCTAAACCCTAAACCCTAAACCCTAAACCCTAAACCTTCTCGCGCGCCTTGAAGCACTGCATCACCTCAAACCGAACGGGCGGGGCATGTCGGAGGGGTGGTGGTGGGGGAGGGGGGGGGGGGAATAGGTGTGGCGATAGGCGTCGCCACGCCCGCCGTGAGACGCACAACCAGGCGGGATCACGCCGACAACATCAGACACACCCCACAACCTAGCCCAGAACTATCATACCACACCGCTCTTCTAGTGTACATACATCGCACCAAACAACAATATCATATATGCATGCATATGCAAGCATGTCCCGACAGCGCGCGGCGCGGCGACAAGGTCGCCTTGCGGTCCATCTGCTTCGCCTTCTTGAGGCTGTTGGCCTTGTGCTTGATGGCGGCGTCAAGCTGCTGGTTCCTAAACAATCTATCTTCATGGCGATGCAGGGCTCGGAGTGCTTTGATACCTTCATGCATGCGCGGCATTGCGGTTAGAGAAGAGAAGCGGGCGCGATCTGTGCCAGAACGCTGCGACGATGATCGCATACGTCGACGATGTGCGATCGCTGTCTGAGCAGCGTGATCTCCACCACCCCCGTCCTCGTCATCATTGGTATCCTCGTCCTCCTCCTCCTCGCCATCCTCCGTATATGTTGGTACAGAACGGTTATCAGCCCAGCCCGCCCACCGTCGACCTCCCCGCCCGAACTGGCGTCAATTGGTGACGGCTCGTCCTCGGCTTATGCTGGTGGTGGATCGTGGCGGAGCGGCCCCGTCGAGGATGCGGCGGACCGCGTGGTTGCTGTTATGAACCGGCAGCTCGAGTCGGCTGATGACCATCGCCGTGTGATCGTCTCCGTGGTTGATCGCGCCCTGAAGCAGCGCGATGATTACATCAAATGGCTGATTGGGCAGATTCAGAGCAAAGGCGCCACGATCGAAGCTCAGAAGGCCACGATCGGGAGCCAGACCGCCACTACCGCGAGCCAGGTCGCCACGATCGCGAACATTCGCGAGGGCCAGGACCGCGTCGCGAACCTTCGCGGGGACCATGAGGGTCGCGATTGCGGGGGTGATGGGCGGCGGTGAGACGGCGCAGCCGATGTCGAGGATAAGGGCGACGGCGGCGACGGCGACGGCGGCGACGGCGACGGCGGCGGCGGCGGCGGCGACGACGACGGCGGCGACGGCGGCGGCGGCGACGGCGGCGACGACGTCGGCGGCGACGAAGGCGGCGGACGACGACGACGACTGCGGCGGCGACGACCACGATGCAGGATGACGACGACGACGACGGCGACGACGACGACGGCGACGACGGCGACGGCGACGACGTCGGCGGCGACGAAGGCGGCGGACGACGACGACGACTGCGGCGGCGACGGCGACGATGCAGGACGACGGCGACGACGACGGCGACGACGACGACGGCGACGACGACGGCGGACGCCGACGACGACGACGGCGAATGCAACACCTCAGGACACCTCTGAGATGGCAACACCAGGGCGCCTCAGGACACCTCAGAGCACCTCTGAGCTGACAACCCCAGGGGACCTCAGGACACCTCGGGACACCTCAGGACACCTCAGGACACCTCAGGATGCTGAGGGGGAGGAGGAGGAGGAGGAGGAGGATGGAAGTGGAGGAGGTGGAGGCGGATGAGGAGGAAGAAGGAGGAGGAGGAGGAGGAGGAGGAGGAGGAGGAGGAGGGGGAGGCAAAGGATGAGGAGGAGGAGGAGGAATAGGAGGAGGAGGGGATGGGAGGGGGGAGGGGGGAGGTCGATCGTTTCGCCGTCGATCGTGAGCCCCCGAAAAGTGCTCAGAGAAGCGGAGCGATCACGCTGAGCGGGAGCGACGCGTCGCTCAGCGATCGCCCAAAGGCCTCGCGACCGATGCGATGAACACCTCTGGAGGTGGACCGAGAAGCGTCGCAGAGGGTACCACTGTCAGACGACACGCGCGTCGTCTTTGAGATTCTCAAAGACGGCACGTTGTCGTCTTTGAGATTCTCAAAGACGACGCGCGTGTCGCCTTTGAGATTCTCAAAGACGACACTTTGGTAATATTAAATATAACAGAGATTCTGTCGTCTTTGTAATTCTCAAAGACGACGCGCGTGTCGTCTTTGAGATTCTCAAAGGCGACGCGTTGTCGTCTTTGAGATTCTCAAAGACGACACCCGTGTCGTTTGATAGCGGTACCCTCTGCGACGATTCTGAATCCGCATTCGTGGTAGCCCCCCAGCCGCTGTGAACCCCCGCAGCCTCGGCAGCAACTCCTGTGCTGAGTCGCCGCCGTGGGGGCCTCGACCCCTTCCGACGGGGCACGCCTCGCCGACCACGCGACGACGACGACGACGACGACAACGCTGACGACGACGGCGACGACGACGACGACCACGACGACGACACAATGGTCGCCGACGTGTGCCCCGTGATCACACGGAGCTTGAGCCCGCCGCGCCCGCCGCAGCGTAGTCGGCGACCGCTTTCAGCCACACCTGCGGCTGCGTGCGGCGGCTCCAGGCCGCGTACTTCTGGTCCTGCTCGGACAGGTCGCCCAAGCCCTGCAGGTGCTCCCGCACGGCCAACGCTTTGGCGAAGCGGATGTGCTTGCCCCCGTCTTTGCCGTCGTCCTTCTTGTGGCCGCCGTAGCCGTCCTTCTTGTGGCCGCCGTAGCCGTCGTTCTTGTGGCTGTAGTAGCCGTCGCCCTTGCCGTGGCTGTCGTAGCCGTCGCCCTTCTCGTGGCTGTAGTAGCCGTCGCCCTTCCCGCGGCCGTTGTAGCCGCCGCCCTTCTCGTGGCTGTAATAGCCGTCGCCCTTGTCGCGGCCGCGCCAGGTTATAACATGTTATAATTAGTTGGCGCACTAATAAGTCTGCTAAGTCGGAGCCCTGAGCTAGCCCGAGTTATAAAAGTTAGTAACTCCGCTAACTTTTCAACATGGTTCTCACCATATCGACATACTCATGTATTTTTCAGGGTGTACTCTTCAAAAAAAGAAGAGTTTGATAATATGTTTGCAAGTGTTGCACTCATCATTGCGACTTCTCGCATATCATATCTACGCTGATCACAATTGCAATCGATGCAAATCCGCATGTAGTGTTGCAACAATTGAGTTGCATGTTGTTTTTTGGGGGCATGCCATGTTGATTCCGTTGTCATTTGGGCTCCAGGGCATTTCGCGCGCATCATTTTGTGCTCACGATTTGCAAGTTGTGTCTTGCATCCATTTGAGACATGCAGCCGCATGGAGCGGATGCTAAGATTCTCAAAAGCAAGGACGCAATGGACATTATTGAGAGGAAGTTCGACTCGCCTCAAGCAGAGGTGGTGGATGTGCACGAACAGGTCAAGGCGATAGCTCGCCAACATGGTATGCTACTGACAGAGAAAATCAACAGTAAGTATATGTACGTGAGCCCATGCAACAGATATGGCGACGGCGTCGTGCCGTGTGACGTCACTGACTTGTTCATTAAAAATATTGGGAAATGGGTTCAGGCACGAGCATCTGTTGATGCCTACGTGTGCCGAGGTGCCCCCAGTGGGCACTGCGGAGTACCTCAAGATCAAAGAGTTTAACGACAAGATAATGACCGATAGCGCAGGACAGCTGCCGTTCTACGATGATGGTGACGGTAAACATCAGAGTTACACATGCGGCCATACATCGCAAGGTTTGCGATGCATCGTACATGGCACGAACGTGCCCGAGACCAACCCAGAGCGGTTCGGCGACATAAGCCAGGACGGGAAGATATCATTGCAGCGCCTCCAGCAATTCCAACCCACTTTTTGTTGATGCGGCTGTAAACGGTATCACATGGGACATCTTCAAATGGCAGTTTATCGAGGCGTTTCTTTTCGTTCCAGACCTTGTGCAAGAAGCGGGCAACGCAGGGCAGGCCGCTGCCAAGTGCGAGAGCAGGCTGGAAATCATGCTCAAGATTGCGCAGTACGCGAAGAGCCTGAAGCAGAAATTGGAGCTGAATCCGAATGAGAAGTTCCCATGGGATAAGGTCAGGCGCCAGGCGGGCAGGGGCGCAGTCTTCAAGCATGAGATAGACCACACGGTGGACTATGTGAAGGAGATGTCAGGCGGACTGGACAATCCAGTGTTTCTTCACGAGCTGAGGGACTTCAACAGGCACCTGGCCAGAGCGACGATAGTAAAGTCCGGTGTCGCGGCAGCCGTCGCGACTTGCAAGATCGCGAAGGAGGGGTCGGGTGTGCTATTCAAGCTCGCGTGCATCAAGGCTATGCATGGCCCGAGCGACAAGTATAGGAAGGGCGACGAGCAGACGCTACTGAAGCTCTCGGACTTCAATGTGTTGCAGAACGAACGCAAGGCGCAGATCGCGTTACAGGGCGATGAGTTGCTGCAGAAGATTCGCAAGCTTGCGATTGACTTCGAAATAGATCCATCGAGCGCTCGCTGGTCCAACATAATCGGGCTCGCCGGTGTTCGAGTTGCCCACTTCGTCTTCAACAAGCCCGACGAGAGCCGCGGGGTATACAAACAGATCACCGACATCGCAGTTGACGCTTGGAAAGCTATGGCTGCCAGCACTGGCAATAACAACGTTCGCTGCCCATGGAAGGCCAAGGCCGTCGCGCATGCACCACAGTGCGCCAGCAGCGTCTCCTCGACAGGTGTCAAGACCTTTGACCAGCGTGGCGAGTGGGTGAACGTGTCCGAAACGTTGGCTGTCAAAGGTTTCAAGGCGGGCGTGACGGTGTACAACAGCCAGGAGGGCGATGAGTCTGTGCATGAGATCAAGGCGATTGATGGGCAGAATGTGAAGATGCAGACGGGAGACGTAGAGCGCACCATAGATGCCGAGGACTTCATGCGAAACAAGTTCGCAATATACGACATCAAGAAAGAGGTCATCGACCAGTTCGACAAGTTCAGCCCATTGAATTGCATGGACTACCACTGGGGGACCGAGGAAGCTCGGATCAAGATTGCACTCGACGAAGTCGATTCACAACATAGTGCTTGCCTCAAGCATATCACGGCGATTCATTCGCCGATCGAATATACAGCGGTGTCAGTGAAGAAGGAGTTCAAGAAGGACGCCATCGGACTTGTTCCGTTGACGACAACCATATCGCTCAAGAAGGCGACGGATGAGATCAATATTGGCAACGCTTGCCTTAGGAAGTATACCGACCCTGCCAAGCATACCGATTACAACGTCGCGCTGATGGCCGCTGGCGGGCTCAAGCTCAAGCGCGAAGAGGGTGGGACTGGCATTGGTGGTCTGAAGCGCGTGCCAGATCAGTACGGGGTGCCTTTCTGGTTGGTCGGCGCGTGCACCGCGAAGGAGAAGCCAAACTTGGCTGTGACATTTGTGACCGCCACGAGCGGCATTAAGGTTCCCATCCTCAAAAACACGGTCGAGCTCAAGAGCGGCGACAGGTTGCGCATGTCCGAGGACACAGCAAAGGCGCTTGCAAGGAAAGTTGCATTGTCCGACGCCACGCCCGCCAAGCCCGCCAAGGAAAAAGCAAAGACGCAGCGAGCCGCCCATTCGCCGCATTGCCGCGGCATTACGCAGGGCGTTGGCGTCGCCCTCCGTATATGAACGCACCTTGTTGGATGGCGAAGACAGACTGAAATGCTTCATACTGCGATGCGTCATCACACCATCGCACCGCATCATTCTGCGATGCAGCATCGCGCCAGTCTGCGATATCGTCGCAACGCACCATAGCCGTTCTGGCTCAATCGCTGGGGTATCACGTGGCCCACGCTGCCCCGCACGTCTACATGTCAGCGTATGTTTCCATGCGCGCGGTGATCGAGGGCGGCGGGCTCAAGGAGCCGTGGATGCCGCGGACTATTGTCCATAGCGGAGGTATTGCGTTCATCGAGGTATCCCTGGTGGACAGGAGGCTCTTCCAGTTCGTCGACATCCAGAACCCAACAAACAGGAACGCCCCATTTGCCCAAAATCATTTCTTCAAAGAGTTGAAGGCCCTCCGAAACGCTGCATCGGACATTGCGATATGGGAGTACATGAAATCGCGAGACCCATTGCTGTCGGACCAGTCTGACCAAGACAAACTGATCAAGGCCTACAAGAAGAACATCGACGAGAGTGCTATGCCAGCATACGTTACGGTTCAGTTGCCAGAGGTTGAATTTAATGGTGGCGGCGTGGCCTTGAAGTGCGAGCCGATCGCAGTAAGATGCATATTTTCTGCATCAGCGATTGGCAAGGCACATGTGGAATGTACAGAGAGCGTACTGACTTACATCATATGTGCTGCGCTGAAAGCAGCAGAGGATGATGGCACCGAGAAACAAAAGAGAGGACTGAGCGGAGTACCAGGGGTCCGATGCGACAAGCGTCGCAGGGTGGTGTATGTCGTTGTGAAATCCCACAACTCGTCGAGACGCATCTATCAACAAAAAACAGTGGAATGGACTGACACGTGTATTTCGCACTGCGCCCGCGAGCTACGCGACAAAGTGGTCGCGAAGGGCGAGGAGATAGAGGATCACGAGCCCGATGCCGATCTTCTCCATGGGCTGAATTGTGCCGAGCATGGCGAGGGGGGTGGACCCGAAGATCAACCGGGTGATGGCGAAGACGACAATGTCGATGCTGCGGGTGATAGCGACGCCCAGGGCTGAGACGTCACGCGCTGCGTCGGGCACGCACAGCGCGCCCGCGCTTTCGACCTCCTATCTATCCTCTCACCGTCGGCCCCGTCGCCCTTCCCACCCGCGGGGGGGGGGGGGCTCCCCGCCATCTTTTTCCACGTCCCCTCGTGCCACCCCTCGCTCGTTCGGCGGGCAACACCGAAAACCCAAAGTCTCTAATCCTATAATTATTAAGCCCTAAATAACCTAAAAACGGTCGTTATGCAAACCGGCTCCATCTACTGCAAAAAAATAGCATTTCCTGAGCATGCGTGCAGAATTTTCTATTTTTTCACAGCACAAAGTGCCCAGTCCCCGTCGCGACCCCCCTCCATCTACTGCAAAAAAAGCATTTCCTGCGCATGCGTGCAGAATCTCATATTTGTTACAACACAAAGTGCGCCCCTCTTATGTAAACCCGCTCCATCTACTGCAACAAAATAGCACTTCCTGCGCATGCGTGCATAATCTCATATATTTTACAATACCAAGCGCTTTCCGTTGCGACCCGATCCACCTCTTCCACCGACTAGCGTTTCCTGCGCATGCGTGCAGGACCTCTTCCGCCCGACCCGACTCGTCCCGCCCGTTGCAGCACTCGCGTGCCAACTGGATCGCACATCCGTCGTCGCCGTCGTCGTCGTCGTCGACGCTGTATTCGATGCGGTTCTAACGAGGGGAGAGATGATCTTTATGGTGGGGTGGCGTGCGGGTGGGAGTGACGGCCGCCGCAGGTGGGTTCGCGGTCGCGGTGTACTCGTGGCCACGCCTAGTAGACCCTAAACCCTAAACCCTAAACCCTAAATTGCAAGCCGCGGGCGGTGCAACGTCCGTAGCCCGTGGCGTCTGGCCGAGCGCTCAGCGAGCCTGCCCATGCAGCGTGCGCCGCACCGACGAAGCGGCGACAGCCGCTGAGGAGGAATTCGCACGCCGCGCGGTGCATCCCCCGTGGTGTTCTCCTAAGAAAAGGAACCCCTAACCCTCAGCCCTAGCTAGTGGGTTCCCAAGGGGCCGATGCTTCCCTTAGGGCTCCAAACCTATGAAAATACAACATGCGGCGCCCTTTCGGCCGTCTGTGGAGCCGCAAACCATATGAAAATACAACATGCGGCGTCCTTTCGGCTCGCGCACGTCCCAAGCGCTCCCAGGCGCTTCCAGGCGGGATCCCAAGCGCCCCCAACCGCTCCCAAGCGCTCCCAGGCGCTCCCAGGCGCTCCTAAGCGTTCCCAAGCGCTCCCAAGCGCTCCCAAGCGCTCCCAGGAGCTCCCAGGCGCTCCCCGGCGCTTTCGGCACGTTCCCAAGCGTTCCAAGCGCTCCCAGGCGCATGGCGCTCCCAGGCGCTCCCAAGCGCTCCCGGCACGCTCCCAGGCGCTCCCAAGCGCTCGGCCGGCGCTCCCAGCAGGCTCTCAGGCGGTCCCAAGCGCTCCCAAGCGCTCCCAGGCGCTCCCAAGCGTTCCCGGCACGCTCCCAAGCGCTCCCAGGCGCTCCCAAGCTCCCACAGGTGCTCCCAAGCGCTCCCCGGCGCTCCCAAGCGCGTTTAAGCAGTCCAAGCGGCTCATGGCGCTCCCAAGCGTTTCCATGCATTCGCAAGCACTCGGCAGCGCTCCCTGGCGGTGCTTCCCGGCGCTCCCCCGCCATGCAGGCGCTGCCGCAGCCGTGCGCGCGCATCGTAGCGAGGGGGTGCCAGACCCACCCCCTCGCGCTCCTCCTCCAGCCATGCAAACTTCGCGCCGAAGGCGGCTGCGTCGACAATGCAATCGCTTCAGCGGGGGCGACGCCAACGGTCAAGCCCAACGGACAACCCGCGGCTCGCACTCGCGGTGCACTCTGCGTGTCCTGTCACGCTCCCAGACGCTCCCACGTGCTTCCATCCTGGGGAAAGGTCGAGGCGCTCGCCCAGCGCTCCCAGAGAGCTCCCCCAAGGCATTCCAGGGGGTCTGCCATGGACGTGCTGCCGCAGCCATGCGCGCGCATCGTAGCGAGGGGGTGCCAGACCCACCCCCTCGCGCTCCCCCTCCCGCCTGACGAAGCTCGCGCCGAAAGCGTCTGCGTCGATGATTGCAATCGCTTCAGCGGGAGGCGACCCCAAAGGCGAAACCCAAAGCCGCGGGCGAATGCAACTGCCGTGCGCGTCGCCGTCAGCGAGGAGCCCGACGGCGCAGCCACTCGCTTGAGGCGCAGGGGGGCCCATAGGATTGTCACGCCAGCGCCCTTGCAGCGGTGCTTTCCAATGCCGACGGCAAATGCCGGGCCCCCGTGGATCTGCTGCGCCAGCGGCAGCCCAACGGCGAAGCTCCACACAGAAGGCGCAAACGGCCGCCTCATCGAAAGGCGAGCTGGCGCGCCAGCGCCATGCACCCTGCGCGCGTGTTCGCATGGGCGCGCGTGCTCCCATGGCCGCGGCCGCGCGCGCGCTTCCCAGCATTCGCAGCCCAGTGTCGCGACCCAGTGCCGACAGCAAAAGCGACAACACATGGACATGCTGCACCAGCGGCAGCCCAACGGCGAAGCTAATCGCAGCCATCGCCAACGGCTGCCTCTTCGCTGGTTTGCAGGTGGGACTGACCGCCACCGCAGGTGGGCTCGTAGGCAGGAGGGGATCATGGCCAGGCCTGTTATCGTGGCCAAAGCATGATTGAGCATCGAGGGGATCATCCTCGTCGCATGATTGAGCATCGACCCCTCGTCGCCAATGAATTGAATGCGGTATGTCTAGGGTCATGGGTGGGTGGGATACATCCAGAAGGCTTCGAGTTGAGCTAGTGGACCCTAAACCCTAAACCCTAAACCCTAAACCCTAAACTGCAAGCCACGGGCGGTGCATCGTCAGAAGCCCGTGGCGTCTGGCCGAGCGCTCAGCGAGCCTGCCCATACGGCGTTCGCCGCACCGACGAAGCGGCGATAGCCGCTGAGGAGGAATTCGCACGCCGCGCGGTGCATCCCCGTGGTGTTCTCCTAAGAAAAGGAACCCTTAACCCTCAGCCGCAGCCTGCGGGTCCCCTACGAGTCGCTACATCCCCTGAGGCTCCAAACCTATGAAAATACAGCATGCGGTGCTCTCTGGGTGCTCCAAACGTATGAAATTACCGCATGCGGCGCTCCAAGCGCTTCCAAACGCTCCAGGCGCTCCCAAGGACTCTCCAAGCGCTCCCGGCACGCCCCCAGGTGTTCCCAGGCGCTCCCAGGCGCTCCCAGGCGCTCCCAGGCGCTCCCAAGCGCCCCCAGGCGCTCCCATGCGCTTCCAAGCTTCCCCAGGCGCTCCCGGCACGCTCCCAAGCGCTCCACGGCGCTTCAGGCGCTCCCGGCACGCTCCCAAGCGCTCTCGGCACGCTCCCATGCGCTCCCAGGCGCTCCCAGGCGCTCCCAAGCGCTCCCAAGCGCTCCTGGGCGCTCCCGGCACGCTCCCAGGCGCGTTCCCAGGCGCGCGCTGGCTGCGCTCCCAGGCGCTCCCAGGAGCTCCCGGCACGCCCCCAAGCGCTCCCAGGCGCTCGCAGGCGCTCCCAAGCGCTCCCGGCACGCTCCTGGCGCGCTCCCAGGCGTTCGCAGGCGCTCCCCAGCGTTCCCAGCGCTGCCACAACCCCGAAGCGCTCCTAAACGCTCCCCGGCGTTCCCAGGTGCTCCCAGGCGCCCAAGCATTCCCACGCGCTCTTAAGCACCCACAAGCGCTCCAAGGCGCCACGCGGCGCTCCCATGCGCTCCCGCGCGCTCCCAAGCGTGCCCAGGCGGTTCCAGAAGGTCCCAGGGCTCTTTGGGGAAGCTCCAGGCGCTCTCCCAGCGCTGCCAGAGGGCCCCCCCAAGGCATTCCACGGGCTCTGCCATGGAGGTGCTGCCGCAGCCATGCGCGCGCATCGTAGCGAGGGGGTGCCAGACCCACCCCCTCGCGCTCCCCCTCCAGCCGTCCGAAGCTCGCGCCGAAGGCGGCTGCGTCGATGATTGCAATCGCTTCAGCGGGGGGGGCGACCCCAAAGGCGAAACCCACAGCCGCGGGCGAATGCAACTGCCGTGCGCGTCGCCGTCAGCGAGGAGCCCGAGGGCGCAAACACTCGCTTGAAGCGCAGGGGAACCCATAGTATTGTCACGCCAGCGCCCTTGCAGTGCTGCTTTCCAATGCCGACGGCAAATGCCAGACCCCGGTGGATCTGCTGCGCCAGCGGCAGCCCAACGGCGAAGCTTCACGCCGAAGGCGCAAACGGCTGCCTCATCGACGAGGCGAGCTGGCGCGCCAGCGCCATGCACCCTGCGCGCGTGCTCGCATCGGCGCGCATTGCTACGGCCGCGGCCGCGCGCGCTTCCCAGCATTCGCAGCCCAGTGTCACAACCCAGTGCCGAAGGCAAAGGCGGCAACGCATGGACATGCTGCGCCAGCGGCAGCCCAACGGCGAAGCTAATCACCGCCATCGCCAACGGCTGCCTCTTCGACGGGGCGACGAGCCGAAGCGCCGCCTACGCCGCGCGCCCTGCGCGCGTGCTCACGTGGATGCGCAGTGCCACGGCCGCGTTGGCGATCGCCTGCGCGCGCCACTTCGACAGCCCCCCGT